AAATGTTCATTAATCTTAATATGATAACCCTATTCAAAATAACTTTTCATGTTTTTGTATTTGCCCATAGTGTTTTTTTTTTCAATATAAAATATAAGGTAGTAAATTAAATTAAATTAAATTTATTTTTTTATTATTCCTTCTTAAATATAATTTTCTTATCAAGTATTCTTACTTCTATAGTGATCGTTTAAATTACTTTGACATCGAGGAGTAGTACTGTCCCAACTTGAAAGACTATCTATCTTTGTAGCACTAAAAATCAACTTAACACTACCACTCGATCAGTCATTTTGTACTAAACGAGGGTAACTCAATCTCCAAATTATAGTAGAATAATAAAAATTATTAGAAGAAAATTTAAATTTGAATGTTACAAGAAAAAAGCAAGACTCAATAATATTGATAGCTTCTATCCAAGTGCAATCTTGATTTCATCTTTTCATCTAAGGAAGTATGACAAATTTAGAGGACCAAAATTTTGTTTTAAGAAGGGGAGAGTACAACATCCCTCATTTTCAAAAATTTGTAAGGGTCTGTTCGTAATGTAGGGACCTAAATATAAATATTAAAAATTAGATATGATTTGTGAAAGATTTATATTAAGTTTTAACAGAAAAAAAAATGGAGGACATGTGTCACTAACTAACCTAAGGAGGGTGCCGCCATCTATGTTTGTTCTAAGAATAACACATAGGCTTCTTTCATGTATGCTTGTCACCTAGTAAATTCTTGTGTTAGTTAAACCTAAGTAATTAAATGAGAAACTAAAAGAAAACTTATTCTACTATAAGTTTAAGAAGAGAAGAAAGAGGAATTGAAGTAGAGGAAGAAAAAACTTTGCTTTGGCTTGAGATTTTGCATCAATTCCACATCTTTGGGATTCAATTTTGTTTAAGGTAAATATTCTAACCCTTTCCTATAGAACTTTTGATCTCTGATTTCATCTTAATCCTGAAAATTTTGGAAGATTTTGGTTTTACATATGATATTTCTTTCGTTTGGGAACAAAACTGTGAATCTAAATTTTTTTGAAGATTTAACATTTTTGTATTTTTCTAGCCATAACTTTCTGTACCGTTTATGGATTCAGGCAAAACTAAACCGAAAATAGACTCAAATCTCTTTTTTTTGACACCTAGATCGATAAATATGAAGTCTATTTACCTATCCAAAAAAATAAAAAAGTTATTGTGTTGAAACGTAGTTTTGGAAAACGTCACTCATAAAAGTGCTCCAAGGAGAAAGAACCTTTGATAACGAAGAGGTTGTGTCGCTATAAGGTTATTCTAATGGAAACACATGAAAAGTAGGGGATAGAAAAAAAAAGGTTATAAAGGTTATTAGTCTGACATAGTTCATTACCATAAATCTTTAATCGGTTAAAATCGACTCAAAGATCAAATTTGATCCAATTTTAGTGTCATAATTTCACAAATAACATGGATCTCATTTCACAAATATTATCATATCAATCCAATTGGATTAAGATTTTAGTTTGATTCGATTGAAATAAATTGATTTGTTTAAAAATATATTTTTTTTAAAAAATAATAATTAAATTATAAAGTCAATTAACCAATTAATCAAATCAAATTAATCGAGTTTGAACCAATTTAGTTAGATAGGTCCAAACTGATTTTTAATTCAGATTTATCTTATTTTAACCGGATCGAATTAAAATTTTGTTCAGTTCGAACTAATTTAAATACTCTTTTCTTAGGTTACTACAAATAGTCTTTCATATCTACTTAAGTGCTTTTATGTGCCTATGATGACATTAGAATTGTGAGGGTAGTTATCTTTTAAATATCAATCTAACATATGTGTGTCACATTCTAGATTTATAAAAGAATACTTTATTTTATCTTTGAATTTAAATCACTATATTTATCATATTAAATATTTTTAACTAAACAAAGAATCACACCTTTTTAGTGAGATAAAAAAAAAAGTCTCATACACTCAACCTCAAATATATTAGAAAGTAATAGGTTACTTTAAAAATAAATATAGAATAAATCAACAATCACACATGCTATTATGAACACATAAAAATTCATAAAATTAATATTTAATACTCATGATGCATATATAAATATCAATAATTTTAAATGAAATGATAGTATATCAATTCATTATGAACCTCATGAAGCATGAAAATAATAATAATTCTTATATGGTAAATAAAATCATGCATCATTCACATACAACACATCTCGATAACATATATATATATATATATATATATATATATATATATATATATATATATATATATATATATATATA